ATGAAATAGTGTGTATGTATGAAATAAACACACTTAAAAATCTTTTTTTTTTTGTTTATTATTATTTTTTTTTCATTGGTTGTTAATAAAGACCAATAAGAAAAAAAATGTTTGTTTTATAGCGATGGTTAATGAGTTTTTTTTTCTTCTCTCTTTCGCTTTGATTAAAAGGGAAACAACAATAATGGCAACAATACCAAATTCAACATCATCACGTATACCAAAAAAAACAGTCAAAGATTTTAAATTTATTAAAGAAATTGGTAATGGATCATATTCAACAGTAAGAATGATAATAAAAAAAAAAAAAAAAAGGAACCTTATTTTATATCTTTATTCATTTAGGTTTTTCTTGCTATTGAAACAGCCACAAATCGTGAATTAGCGAGTATGTATTATTATCTTGTTTTTCTTGATGATTTAAAACTTTGTGTGTATCTTTTTTTGTTTTTAGTTAAAGCTGTTAGTAAAGATTTAGTAACAAGATTAAAAAAAATTTCTCAAGTCTTTCGAGAAAAAGATATTTTAGCACGACTTACTGATTGTAATTATGCAGCTAAGCTTTATTGTACATTTCAAGATGACAAAACTCTTTGTAAGTATATTATATTTTGATAAAATAAATCAATCAAAATATAACAAAAAATATTAAATTTTAAATCATAAATAAAATTTTTCTCTTTTTTTTGACATGAAAATTGTTTTCATATTTATCGTTATATTAACTGGCAAAACTTGTTAATCTAATTATATGGTTGATTTCTTTTCAGTTAATTAGAACAACAATCTACATAGCAGGTTGTCGATTCATTGAAGAAAGAAACATGTTAAATTATGAATTGGATGAATTTAGAAGAATTTTATTTTAATCACAGTAGAGATATCCGTAATTCAAGAGTAATCCGGATAATTAAAAATAAACATATTTGAAATATTCAAATTATTTATTTTTATTCGATTTGATTTTTGCACTCATATAGAAAATAATTTATATATATATATACGATGTTTCATAAATTCTGATCTTGGACAAAAAATTAATTTATAATGCAGACAAAAAATAATCCTCTAATTGTATATGTCTATATGAAGTTTGAGTAATCGTGCAAATATTTCAAATGATACAATATGAGATAGCATTTACTGTTGTAAGAATTATAAGATAAATAGAAGAATATAATGTTTAATTTTTTTAAAATTGATCAATAAGATTTTTTATTAAGAAAAAGAAATATACTATATTTGATTGCATAAAAAAAAGATCATTTAGTTATCATGTATTTATTTTCTACACTATATTATTATTTCGTCAAATCTTTTGGAAATTTTCTCAATCATCCTTTCACAATCATTGTAAGTTATTTTTCGACATTTTGTTTTGTTTAATCTAGTCTTTAACTACATAAAACTTAAAAATAGTCTTTTTCATGGTTCTTTTTTAGTTTCATTCAATATTTTCGATAAGTATTTATTCATAAGCCACAGTAGATGTGTCACAATACCAATACTATTTGGTATTGGCTGATATTTTCATTGGATACAGGATGTACTCATATATTTTAGTTCTTTTTGAATTGTTTGTTAAGGATTTAGTCTGACTGCTCATCGGATCAATGTCTTACGATAAATTTCAAATATTTTTATTAGTTTTAATAAAAAAATTTCGAAAAATTGGACATGATATTCATATTAGTGTATTCACACGAGATAGAATGTTATTCAATATTATGTTATTTTGAAACGTCGATACAAGTACTCAAACCTTATATAGAGATACATTTAATTAGAGATTATACTGTCTGCATTTAAGTTAGTAGCGAAACCAGAATTTCTGTCTAGGAAGAACTAAGCTCGGTCGGTAGCTCAGCCACTAATATAAATTAATTTTCATTCAGGTTTAGAATTTATAAAACACCATGTATTGACAGAATTGGCTCAAAGTAACCAGCATACTGAGAATAGATCGGTATTTTTCAAACAGAACGAAAGAAAGGATTTCTTTTTTGTGTTGTTAGAGACGTCTAGAGTTTTTTTCATAATAGAAGAATGTTACATCATGTACTGTAGTCGGATCAATCTTTTTATGCTAATAAGAAATAAATAAGAGTAGTTGCTATTAAATTCAGTTTTCCGACAAACTCTATTAGCAGAAAACTCAAAATTATACTTTGCCATTCGAACTACGACCAATGCAGTCTTTAATATCCTTCTTCTTAAAGATTTACACAAACATGAACATGATGAATCGAGGGGTACACCAAATCCTATTTCTCTATATAAAGATTACAAATTTTCAGTATGAAGATCCACCAATTCCAACCA